TACGGTTACATCTATCAATTTCAACTATAACCCTATAAGACCTAATCCTGTACTACACTGTAATTCGTAAGTTCGAGTTACCAAAGTCGAAATCTCATTAGAACAATTACCCTGAAAATATTTATCGAAAACGGAATAGGAAGCTATATTACCGACGATGGGAAAGTGACGATGATGCCAGATCGAGAACGGATAACATTAAAGATTCGTTTTGAATTTGGTCAAGAACCTCTAAATACATAGCAGAAACACCAAATCCGGTGTGATAGAAGTATTAAATGCATGAACCAATGGTAAACTTAAAAATGTGTAAAATATATTTTGGCAAGAAAAAAATTTCTAGCTGGACACGGTGATTCAACATTTCAAGTTGCAGATCTAGTAAGTGATTCAATATAATAATTCCATTTCATGTCGATGGAAAATGTTAGGCTGAAATGACGCAACGAGTTACTGGATGTTAGTATCAACTATGAGTGATGCCAAAAAACTTGTTCTCTAAAAAGAATAAATAATTTGCAAAGTCGAATCGGTAAGTCTGCAACCTGACAATAAGTAGATAAAATGAAATCTGAAAGTGTTATTTTTAATGTTTAATTTATGTGTGATGACAAACTGTTTTTTTTTGGGGGGGGGTCATTTTTGCGTATGTTATTTATTTGTTACCTGGCTCCATGTCGGCTGTATATTTACTAGTCACTGTTCTTCCTCCCACACCTCTGTGCGGCGTAATTTTGTCATTAAGATGTATGTACGTGCTATAAAATGGTTTGAGCAAAATACACCATTTCGAAAAGTTCAAATTGAATTGGAAACCCAATTATGCTCAGGAGAAGGAGTATTTGCCAATTACTCCAACGTTTTAGAAAAGTTAAGCTCCTAATCTTAAAGGACAATTAAGTTTGAAAAATGTTCTAATTGTCGCACATGATTCTCTGGATTCTGAATTTATACATGTGGGAAGTGTCCAATTTTCTGGAGGGCTGAACTTTTTCCAGAGTTTAATTCAATATTTGAATTTTACTATTATTGGGACATCCCCAAGTTTATTTTTACTATTAGTTTTACTATTATTGGTACATCCCCAAGTTTATTTTCCGAATATATTCTGAACATATATAAAGTTTTCAAGGGGAAAATATAAATCTACATCTTCTCTGCAAGCCCGAGTTATGATTTAATTAGTAAGACTTGTATCATTAAATCATTATTATCACTAAAAAAAAAGAATTCTTACAATCAAAAAAAAATTCCTGGCTTTAAATAACCTACAAAAGTTTGTTAAACCGTAGAAAATGAATCCATCAATTAATAAATAACTAAAGAATATAAGTATAAAGTTCATTAACATAACTTGTATTTATAAAATCCACAATAGCCTAAATCGAAAATAGTGAAACATTGGTATTATTCAAAATTTAATTTTAAATCTGTGTATGGCAGAATATATACAAGTTACACTATATAATAACAATGTTATGTTATGACAAAATATATATATATAATAACAATATATATATATACATAATAACAATATATATATATAATAACAATGTTATGTTATGACAAAAGGCAAAAAAAACCATTGTATGCAACACCTTTTCTCCTCATAAGAGATTACAAGACTAAACGAACGCATTTATACATATAAGTATATATATATAGTGGAAGGTGGGAAAATATATAAGTAAAAACGGTTATGCACACAGAATAAACGATGAAGATGTCGGGAATTTTTATAAGTCAATCAATAAAAAATTACTGAAATATGTATTAGTGGCTCGTGTTTTGTTTTTGTTTTTATTAAGGACTTTAACATATATGAAAAGGGGATTAGAATAATCCAGGACTTATACTGGCAGCAAACCGCCTGTATTCGGATAGGAAATTGATTTATATACAAAAAAAGTTTAAGTATTCAGTATTCAAATGGATACAGTAAATATACGCAAATATTTGTGTAAGGTATGTCTTTTCACCGGACAGATTCAACCTATACAGTAAGGTAATCCTGAGAGGATTAGAAGTCCTACCAGGATTCAATACTACTGGCCACAATGTAAACAATATAAAATGTACAAGTGACGCACTGTTGATATCAGTCACAGAAAGGAAACTACAAGAAGTCCTACCGAATGTAGTAAAACAAAGCGAGGAGGAAGGAATAAACATCAATTGCAAGAAGACTGAATGGTTGGTTGTTAACAAAAGGAACAGCCTACATGCAAATTACAAATTGGGGATGCCAAAATCAAACAAATACAAAAATACCTCGGAAGGCTAGAAAGTGCGACTCTGAAATCCAAAGGCGTATTGTGTTAGAGAAAGATGCTTCCTAAAAGCAAAGCAAAGTATTAAGAAACAGGAAAAGTTCGTTACAAACACTGAACTGATATGTAATATTCGTTCCTCTATATAGAAATGAATTCTGGGGCACCTTGAGGCGGTGTAATGGTTAGCAAGCTTGTCTCGCAAGAACAATTACGACTTAGTGTATTTGATCCTCACTGGGTGACCTCTACTTTCGGCCTTGTGCCACATCTAAGCTACACTTGGAAAATCACTATAGCAATGAATACTGGACAGACTTGTCAAATTGGGAAAAGGGATTTGACGCATTGCTGAAAATAGTATGAATGTAACATGTGACCAACGAAAAAGTTTTAGAGAAAATGGAAACAAAAAGGACACTTATAATTATAATCCGGAAAAGACCGTTGAAATTCCTAGGGCACATAATGAGGAAAGAGAGCTTGGAAAATGTAATACTCTTAACAAACTGAAGACAAGTGGGATAGCGGAAAACAACGAATAATCTGCCTAACCTGCTTGTGTATATGGCCGGTGGAACAGGGTTTTAGAGAGATATGAATCAGACAAATTTATTAAGAGTTACAAGTAAATTGTTGAGAGGCACTTGAAAGGAACAAGATTTCAAGACGACGTGAAAATCACACACACACACACACACACACACACACACACACACATGCAGACACATTCATTAAATTTTACAGTAGTATAAGAAAATATATAAGTGTTGTCACATAAATCAACATGATTTGTGATGACTAACGAACTATTGAAAATGTTCAAAATGTGAAATAAAACATTGAAGAATATCATCAACAATTCTACGAACTATTGGACATATTTCTATATTAATATCCGAAAATGTATCAGAAATTGCTTGTTACACCGTACACCCTTACACCGTAGAAACTCTCAAATGTAGCCGTCTCTTCTACTCCAATAGCTTCATACCTCGCACCTCTCGCCAGTGGAACACCCTCCCCAGTTACTGCTTCCCTGAAGGCTATAATCTCCAACTATTCAAATGTAATGTCAATCGACATCTCCAGTTACCTTGATCTACCCACTATCCTTCTCTCCATCCTTTCTCCTATCACTCCCTATCTGCTCTCGCTCCATATCTTCCGCAGCCCCTGCATCCTAGTGGCTTCACGCCTTGCTTGGGGCGTAATGCTTAAAAATATATATATATATATATATATATATATATATATATATATATATATATATATATTATAAATTAATTGATTTAAAAATATGGTTATTTTCGCTACACAGTTCCAACCATGTTTCAAAAATAGAAGCTATTTTTGAAACATGGTTGGAACTGTAGCGAAAATAACCATATTTTAAATCAATTAATTTATAATATTAATGCTCTGTAAATTTACATTGAGCACTATTTTGTAAAAAATAAAATATCTATAAGAACACCGGATTTTTATATCTTACTGTTCTTTCTTTTTTTATTTATATATATATATATATATATATATATATATATATATATATATATATATATATGTAGCGGCTCAGAGGTCCGAGTTCGAATTCCAGTCGAATTCATTACAATCATTTACACTTCCTCTTCTTCTGCCCACTCCCCAGTTAGGGGGTAAATAGCAGGACAGACTTGGTTCTATATCCTTTGATGGCAACTGGACTAGGAGAAGGACAATTCAAACCCAGCGGAAGTTTGCTTGGGGTGCACCAGCTCTCTGTATCCGGCTCTTGGTTAATATTAATAAATATTGTTCGTACTGATTTCATCTGTACCCTTACGTTTGACTTATTGTTTTATTGACCAACTTATCTGCTCTACATTATAAACTATATGAAGCATAGGTGAACACTTTTTCTAATCATATATATATATATATATATATATATATATATATATATATATATATATATATATATAGTAGCTTAACGGAATGAGTGTTTAAACGTGTTCATGTATAAGGTGACTGTTAGTATTTTCATGTTTCCGCAGGAAAAAATATCTTTCACTGGGTATCCTTGTGAGTTAATGGATATTTGTGTCTATATCTCAATGATTTTGTATGTATACGTTCCTGTGTATGCGCGTGCGTGCGTGCGTGTGTGTGTGTGTGTGTGCGCGTAAGTATGTCTTATTTGTATTTTGGCGATTTTTTTCTCTTGTGCCTATGTGTACGAGAATATTTTTCAGTTTATTGGGTGCAGAAAATGTAAATTCTTCTTGACAGACCAATATCAATACGGTTTGAATGTAAAACAATGTTCTTCTGCTGTTAATACACATCCCCAATGCATTTCTGGCGTGTAAATTTTATACCTTCATGCATCTATACAGATAGAATGACAACCTGACAACCAGACGGATGAACTCTAAAGAAATAATAGAAAAATTGCTTCCAACTGTCAGACGTGCGCTGAAACATGTCCGTCCTTAGCTTCGTTTAAACAACTGATTCCATTTTATTATCGTCCCGACCTCTGTCATTGTCAGCCATCAATAATTTTTGACAAATCATTTACAATTCATAAAACTGATGGACGACTCTCGTGAATGACTTTCAAAGTGACCGACTTTTCGGCCATAACAAGGTTTTATGTCTCCGTTAATGGGGAGTTTCCACAACAGCCTTGATTCATCAATGATTGCGCATGCGTATTCTACGAAAACCGATCTGCGCGGAGCCATTATGGCGGGAATGATGGCTGTTTACATCTTAATCTATCTTCGTCTTTCTTCTTTGTCATCTTTTCTTCCCGAGCCTAGAACGAGCGCTTCTTCAACTTTATGTCTTTATTCGGAAGTTACTGTGATCTGCCCATCCATTTATCACTATTCTTTTTCAATTCCAACCTTGTTTATTTTTTTCCTTTATTAATCTGTTTCTTTATTGTTTCCTTATAGACATTTTTTTATTCTTTCCTTTTGTTCCCATCTTCCCTATTTATCTTTTTTAACTTCTTTATTCCTATTTTCTTTTCTTTTCTTTCTTTCTTTTTTTTTACTTTTTCCTCCTTTCTTTCTTTCTTTTTTCTTTTTTCTTATTTCCTTTTGTTACTATTGATTTTTTTCCTTGTGTTACATTCTCTTCTTTTTTCTTTATATATATCCTTCTCGATTTTCCAAGTCAGTTGTTTTTTTTTATTTTTTCTATTACTTTTCTTCATTTATATATATATAATATATTTTTATATATAATATATGTAATATAATATTTTAATATATATAATATAATATATATAATATAATATTTTTAATATATATAATATAATATATATAATGTAATATTTTAATATATATATAATATAATATATATAATATAATATTTTAATATATATAATATAATATATATAATATAATATTTTTAATATATATAATATAATATATATAATATAATATTTTAATATATATAATATAATATATATAATATAATATTTTTAATATATATAATATAATATATATAATATAATATTTTTAATATATATAATATAATACATATAATATAATATTTTTTATATAATATAATATATATATATATATATATATATATATATATATATATATATATATATATATATTAATTTCGTTCTATTACTTTTTATTTATTCCTTCATTTCTTTCTTTCATTCGATTATTATTTTATTTCTTCATCTCTTTCTATTGTGTTTTTCATTCATTCTTTATTTTGATTACTCACTTTTATGTTTCATCTATTATTTTTCTTTCCCTGCTATTTTTTCATTTTATTAGTTTTTTAATTTTTCAATGAATTATCTTTTCTCTTTCTGTTAGTTTTATTTCCTTCCTTCCTTCTTTCTTTCTATGGTGTATTTATTTATGTTTATTTCTTTCCATATGATTCTCTCATTTCTTTCTTTCTTTTTGTTATTTTGTTTTCTTTCCCTACGCTTGCCCTATTTCATTTATTCTTTCTTTTCATGATTTTTCTTTCTTTTTAATAGATTTCTTTCTATCACTTGTTCTTTCTATTGCTTCTTTGTTTATTTCTTTTTTTTCCTTTCCTTCTTTCCATTATTTTATTCCGTTGGTTCTGTACGATGCCTTCATCTCATTCTTTCTTTCTATTTGTTCTATTTGTTTATTCTGTCTTTATTCCTTTTATTGTCACACCCTTTTTCTTTTCTCTTTTTTTCGTCTTAATCCTATTGGCAATATTTCCCTTATACTTCCCATTCATTCTGCTTTTAAGATTCCCATAAAAATATTTTTGACTTCATCCGCCATCTGAGGTCTTAAGATGACGAATTGTCATGATTATATGCTTTACCTCTAGGACAGTATACTCATCTTGGATATTTTATTCACAATTTGTGAATCGAGAAATAGAACATTTCAAACAGAAAAACAACCGGAGACAGAAAGATAAAACAAAAGAATTATTCGGAGCAGCTGTCCTGGGTAAGACGATAAACTACATCAGGAAGAAAGGCCTCTTATCGGGATATTGGAGTTTTTGACGAGCGTAGAAACACATCTTAATTGCTGTTTTCAGATCCAGCCTGACACGCGGTGGTAGTACCTGTTATGCCGCAACCAACAGGTAAATAGTGAATCCACCAAACAAAAATCAGAAATATATTTTTATAAAATGACCAGTAATAATTTCTATAGCAAAATGACCAACAATACATTTTTATAGCAGTATGGCAAACACCGCAACACTAAAAAGATATCAGAATACATTTTTAGAGTAAAATTGCCAAAAAATACTGTTATATACCGTACCTATGAGCACTAAAGTCTATGCCCGAATCCTCATAATAAATACGTTGGACACTATAGATTTAAAGACTATATTACCCGCATTTACTTAAGTGGGAGTAATATGGTGTCTATGTAGTCCACCAGTAGTAGTGGTTTGCCTACTTCACGCCGCTGGGGAGTATTGTATTTTACTGATGTTATAAAGATTACCATTTCATTTCATCTCTGTTTTGGTTATTCCTCATTCAGTAACCCCTTCTAGATTATAACAATATATTTATGATCTACAAAATATATATCTAAAAAACATATATTTAATATGAAATTATAAATTTATGTAAAAAATGTATGTAGTTGAAAGCATAAAATTACTTACCAAAGATTTAGATATCGGCAGTAAACAATCCATACAGGTAGATATGCCACCAACCAAACAACCAATACGAAAGAACTCTTTCATAACATTAATCCATATAATATTCTGCAATTTCTTAAAGAAATCAAGCTGTTTTCCAAAATATAACTTCAAAAAAACTACAACAAAAGAGCACATATCACCGCCTCTAGTAATTATATCCACAAAAAGCTGAGCATCATTTACCAAGTATTCTTTTGTGAAAGCAGAATAACATATATCATATTTTTTCTTACTTCAAAGGACCAAGAAAATTAAATTTCGGCATTAAATTACCCATAAAGGTGTTGATATGCCGTTAAACAAACACTTCAATCAATCATTCAGAGCAGCATACTGGCTTTTTACAATCACAATGTTTCAGTCGTTGGATATTCTTACCTTCTTCATTTGTCTGACGTCATACGCGGTAAACTTGCCGGAATTTAGAATTGGGCCCTTTATTCTGGTAGATTGTTCTTATTCCGTTTCCCACCTTTATGGGACATAACTTAAATCAGGTACCACTCACCTGTCTGTAGTTTATTCGATACTTCCACTAAACCAGAAATTTTGATTTTCAGTATTTCAAGAAAAGGTTAAGACACAAGGGAATAAAATATATTTTAACGAGCGATGTACTCAACCATGTCGTCTCCGACCTTGTGAATATTCGTTTCAAGAAACCAACAAGGAAAGGTAAATAACATCTCTGAGAATTAACTAGAGTGGAATATTTTCTTAGCAGGGAAAGCAGGATTAGAAGATTTTTTTTTTTTTTTAATTGAATTCATCCCGAGCAAGGCAATGAAGCCATTAAGACGCAAGCGGCCATTGGGTATGAAAAATAGGAAAAAAAAAACAGAAACATTACTAAAGAGCGAGAACAAAGGACAAGTAATCAGGAAGACAGTAAATAACGATTGACAATGCATTCACATTTTTGAAGATCAAATTTAACTGCAAAGTATGGATCCAGAAAGAATGTTCCAGAAGCGAGAATTGTGAGAGAAGAACCTGTTAGTATAGAACTTACAGTTACATCTCGACATTTCAATTGTAAATTAATGGGGCTTTATTACCAATCTAGTACTGTGCTTATTCATGAAGTCTGTGTACCATAGCGAAGAGCGATATTTATTTCTGCTATGCACAGAAAATGTGACATAGGGCCAAAAATGGGGAATGGGGGAAAAAGGACGGTCTTGTTCTGTCTTAATTTTAAATTTAGCTAGCCACAAATACTAGTCCAACATACAACAATGTTCCTTACACCAAAACATTCTTACTTATCTTTCTTACTGCATTCACCATAATACCTCATTGTCTCTATGAAAATCCTAACTAGTGCCTATATGTACAATTCAGAGCGAAGAGTTCATCCGAACAATTATCTTGAAAGTATTTATATAAAAATAAGTGCTGATTATTCTTTAGATTTTATCAAGAATCATTTAATATATAGCAGGAGCACCGGACCGTATGTGACAACAACGTTAAAGAATGGACGAGTGGTTGACTTATAGATATTTACGATACATTCTGGAAAGTGAAATTGTCTAGCTCGACACAGTGAACCAATCTTCAGAGCAGTGGACCAAGCAAAGGATTCAATATGGTCTTTCTATCTTATATCAATCGAGAATGTTTACTCAAGAAGGTGCAACGTGTTATTGTCCTGGAGGTCAGCATCAGCCAGGCTGATGGAAGGCAGAATGTTGTCTCTCAAATGATTAATAGAGGACCATTCTTTATAATTAGGTTCGAAATTCTGAAATGGTTCTCGAATCCAAAGACTGACGCCTGCAGAAGGATGAACAGTAAAACAGCAGGGACATCATATATTATATATATCTTTCTATCATTATCTATCTATCTATCTATCTATCCTTTTTTTTCTCGGGCGTATCTTTCCAGCCTGGTATCTATCTATCTATCTATCTATCTATCTATCTATCTATCCTTTTTTCTTGGGCGTATCTCCAGCCCAGTATCTATCTATCTATCTATCTATCTATCTATCTATCTATCTATCTATTTAATTCTTTTTTCTTTCTCTCTCGTTCTGCTTGTTTCTTTTTAATTTTCTTTCTTTATATCTTTGTATTTATATATCTCATTTTTAATCTTTCATTTTTCCTATCTTTTTCTTATCTATCTCAACGTGTTCGTTGCTTTCTATCTATCTATCTATCTATCTATCTATCTCATTCTGTTTAATTTCTATTTATCTATCTATCTATCTATCTCATTCTGTTTCATTTTTCATTTCTATCTATCTATCTATCTCATTCTGTTTCATTTTTCATTTCTATCTATCTATCTCATTCTGTTTCATTTCTCATTTCTATCTATCTATCTATCTCATTCTGTTTCATTTCTCATTTCTATCTATCTATCTATATCTATCTATCTATCTATCTATCTATCTACGCTATTTTATTTACATCTATCTATATAATTCTATTTTATTTTCTATTTTCTTTATTTTTTACATCTATCTATATAATTTTCTATTTTCTTTCTTTCTTTCTCATTCTGCTTGTTTCGTTTTAATATTCTTTCTTTTTATCTTTCATCATTTTTTCATCTTTATATCTATCTCATTCTTTCATTTTTTCTATCTTTATTCTTATCTATCTCAATATGTTCGTTTCTTAATCATTTTCTATCTATCTATCTATCTATCTATCTCCTTCTGTCGTGTTTTCTTCTACCTATCTATTTTTCTTTCGATATATGTTATTTTTCTTTCTTATCTATCTCAGCATGCCAGTCTCTTTCTTTTTCTATCTATCAAATATGTGTGAGTATGGAATATATGGAACACACACAGAAAAAATATATATATATATATATATATATATATATATATATATACACGTTTCATAAATAATATAGACAAGTGTTGTCTATTTATTTTATGTAAAATTTTTCGTATCTTCTGATAAGTTTGGTAACATTATCATTAACCGAAAAAGAAATTCACAATATTTATCCATTATTTTTAATAAAATCTAAGCTTTCGGCTTACTCAAGCCATTATCAAAGATGTAATTACAAACATATCAAACAATATACGGACACGACAGTGATGATAGTCTGTCATTGTTTTGTTTACATAGTGGATCACTAAGCAACGATGAACACGCGCATATAAGATGCTAGAAGCGAAATTCGCACCGCATCTCATGACGTCACACATGACTACACGAGAGTGAATTGTAGAATGAAATAAGGAAAGCCGTTGGTATAAACCAATGGCTTCTGTTACCAATTATAGAAATTATAGACATTTAAGAATATTTGTAGAGATGCCATAGTTGATTTTGTTTAGGTTGGGTTTTAACTGTTTGATGTATAATGCTTCAAGTATTTTTAGTTTTTGTCTATTGTTTTCATGTCGAAGTATAGTTGTGTTTTCGACAAGTATTTTACGGAATTGTGTGTGCGGGCAGGCATGTTGTTTTAAATGCCTAAATATATATATATATATATATAATTTGTCAAATATGTACGTCTATATAATTATTTGTGACTCCTGAAGTATTGCTTGTCACCTTTTATCAATAGAAAATATACCATCAAACAACTCAGGTTTTACGTTTTTCCCATGACCCAATGGTACTTGATGCACAGCCTTTTTACAACCATGAAGCCTCGAATGTTCCAACTTCATTATACGAAAAAAGAAAGCTGGTACTTCAAGTGATAAACCTGAAGTAAAGTTAAAACGAAAAGCATATTCCTTTTAAGTTTGATTCGTATTGTTAAATATTTTCGCTTTTATCCTATTCAAACTCTCCTGTTGCTTCATGTCGTCTTTGATTATATTCGTGACCAACTTCATTACCAGAAAGTAATGAATTCAAGAGATTGGATCTATCAATATTGGAGGCACACAAAGGAAAAATTGTCATGGAGACGTAATGAATTTCAAGTTTGAAAAGCAGAGAAAATTGCCAGCATATATATATATATATATATATATATATATATATATATATATATATATATATATATGTGTGTGTGTGTGTGTGTG